CAAGGGAAGGAAGGCCAGATATAAAAAACATAAAGCAAAAGGGTCATTAGGCACATGAACATACAACACAACTCACGGGCCAGGCTGTACACCAGGCATGTTCAACCAGCGGCCCACAGGCCACCTATGGCCCAGTATAGCCAGTCACACAGCCTCTCAAAATCCTTTAGCATTGTGTGTTTTTTAGCATTTATTTTCTTCATGACCCCATACGGAGTTCCATTTTTGAAGTTCACAATCACACCTTATTTATGACATTGCTTTTTTTTTGGCAGCACATACATTTGTGAGAAGCTGTTTTCAATGATGGAGCCCCCAAAGAGCAAAATTTGAACAAACATTTCTGATGAGCACCTTGAAAAATCACTAAGAGTTGCAACCAGACCTGGATGGATTAGTTTTACAAAACAAAGTCCAATTTCTCACTAGTTTTATACTGCTCTCAGTTTTCTAAACGTTATAATAAAAAATAAACGAGCCGGGCTCGGTGGCTCAGCCTGTAATCCCGCGCCTTTGGGAGGCTGAGGTGAGTGGATTGCCTGAGCCCGTGGGTTCGAGACCCGCCTGGGCAGCGAGACCTCATCTCTAAAATAAATCAAAAAATCAGCCAGGCATGGTAGCACATGCCTGTAATTCCAGCTACTTGTAAGGCTGAGGCAGAAGGATCGCCGGAGCCCAGCAGGTGGAGGCTGCGGTGGCCGGAAGCGGCCACTGCACTCCAGTCTGGGCGACAAAGTGAGACTCCAACTCAAAAATTAATAAAATAAAATAAATGAATACTTATTATGTATATACACTAACAATATTATATGATTTATGTGCGACCCAAGACATTTCCTCTTTACTTGATACAGCCCAGGGAAGTCAAAACGTTGGATACCCCTACTATACATGATCAATGCCAAAGGACAGATTCCCATACAGAGGGCTCTGAAAAGTCTCCAAGGAAGAGAAGCCCCTGGGGTCATGACACTCAGGTTGAAGCTTCAGAGGCACCCCTCTTCTCTAGACACTCTCACTCATCGATTCCAGAACACATCCCACATTCACATGCACTGGCAGCTGTAACCAGGCCATGAGCTGGTATTTCAAGGGCGTGTTACAACACAGTTGGGTTCCTCCAGGGTATTAAGCCAGCTCAAGCATGTTTGAGAGTTCAAAACTGTCTCGTATCTTGTGGTGCCCCTTTTAAAATAATAATATTAATAAAGGACACCAATGGCTCTGACAGACAGGCCCCAAAATTGGATGGCTGGGAGTCTAAAAATGTCCACCTGTTTCTCTGGTTGAAGAAGACAGCTTACTGAGTAGGTGAGCTGAAAGAATGAGTAGCGATGGCACAGCGAACCAGAAATGGCCTCTGTACAGGGAGTCAGCTGAGCTCTGTAGAAAGGCTTAGGGACAGTCCTAGGGTCAAATCCAAGCCCTGCCATGTGTGCCATATGTCCTTGAGCAAGTGACTACACTCTCTGAGTCATCTGGGAAGTGGGACCAGTAACTCCCTACCTGGCACAGGAGTGGAAAGAATTAAGTTCAATAGTTCTATGAAGTACCAGGATCATGCCTGGAATTCCTGGCTCAGCAAATATGATGGTGTTTATTTATCATTGTCATAAATAATACTGTTATATCCTTTGGACATATAGGAATGGTCAAATTACTCTAAAAACACCTTACTTGTAAAAATGAAAAAGAATGTGTGCCAGTTGTAGTGACAGCACTATCAATGTCACACTTTCAGGAGGCTTTCTGCATTTTAACGTTTGACTTTGTACCTTTGTTTTGTCCCTGTGCTCTGTTTGCTTGTGCAGTGGGAACCTGTTTTCCAGCAGACAGCATGGGAGAGAGAGAAGGCAGAGTAGCCAGCATGGCAGGACTGCCCTGAGACGCCCCCAGGTGCCCAGAGGCACTTTGTTACTGGGTATCTGATTAACAGTGGGCACTGCTATCTCACGCTGCCTAGCTCACGGGAACCAACGTGGCTTTCTGTAGCCATCTCCCTCAAAAGCGCTGAGCGCCTGACAGATCTATTTATTTTTCATCCCAATCCACGTGTTGCTATTACTGTGTGTTAGATGGAGCTTCTAGCCTCAAAACCGGATCAATACTTAATACTGTAACATATTCTTGGTGAGATGATTTATGGACTTCTAAGTGGCACTGGCAGTTTCAGTGAGTTGAATGTGTCAGCTATGGACAGCTTGTTTTGAGCCCCACCACCTATAAAAGTCTTGCAATAATTACACATTCAGAGTGGAAAAATAGGAAATATGGATAAGAATTATAAACTACAAAGTCATACTAGCCGAAGGAGAAGTGTGGCTATTATTTTGATTAATCTACAAATGCAATTCTGTATTCCAGTTACTGAATTTAAATGTCTTTCAAAGATAACGTTAAAATCCATATAATCATTGGATCAGCCAAGTCACAGGCAAAAGCAGTTTTGAGTTCACTGCAATTTGGAAATGTATTTTCTGACTTAGTCACAAGGCTATAAACTATGGCTTTAATTATTTTTAATTGATATCTTCGAAAAACCCCATAAGCAAATGGTTTTGTACAGATGGTGAACAGATCAACCAATACAAAGGCATTTGAGATTTTGCTCCATGCCATGTACCCCTCAGAGGTTAGAGGAGTGAAAAGCAGAGTTCTTCCCCCTAAAGTCTCCCACCACCTACAAAAGTCATGCAATAATTATACATTCAGAGTAGAAAAAATGGAAATACGGATAGGAATTATAAACTACAAAGTCATACTAGCCAAAGGAGAAGTGTGGCTATTATTTTGATTGATGGTCTAACATACCCTTATAGACAACTATACTTCCCTAAGTGTGTGTGTGTGCACATATTTCCATAGATAATTTAACCAAAAAAATGCAAACTGCTTTCTGACACGTTTCATTTAGTAATGTGTTGTGAATGTCTTTTCTTGCATGATCCCTTTTAACAATATTCATTGAATGGCGAATCATAGTTTGCGTAACCCATCCCCTGTGATCTATTTTGTTAGGTTTTGATAACTTATATTATAGTCAGCAGTTTGGGGATGACTATCACTGGTGTCTATGTCTTTGTGCATTTGATATTTTCACGGACTCAAGTGTAAAGTAGCACTTTAGAAACCTACGATCTGGTGGAAGAGACCAAACACATGTGAAAAGAAAACAAGCTCGTACAGAGTAGGGGCACCAGGGCTACATGAATGCATTTGCCAAGAGTCAAAGGCAAGAGAGGTCATTTCATGCTTGGGTGGCCACAGATGGTGTCACAAAGGATCATGGCAAGTGACAGAAACTTGACTCAAAACAGCTTAAGCGTAAAAGGCAATATTATTGGCTCACGAAATTGGAAAGTCCACTTTGGTTTCAGACTGAGCTGGGAGCAGGAGTCCCATGGTGTCACCGGGCGCATGTATGTGTGTGCGTGTGTGTGTGTGTCTGTGTGTGCATTAGCACCTGTCCCCATCTCTTGGTTCTGCTTTTTCCTGTGTAAGCAGCATTCTAAGGCAAGCTCTTTCTCTATGTGACAGCTGCCTCTAGCACCTACAGATGCAGGGCACATTTATAGCTCATAGAGAGAGGGGATTTCCCCCCTGCCACCAACTTCTCTATTAATCCCTGCTTGACTCCTTACAGACCTTTCTCCCACTTCCCACTGTGCACCTGGGAATGGGTGCTCTAGTGGTTAACCTGGACCCTGAGGAGGAGGTGTTCTGTGATGCCCCATCCTATGGAGCAATTCTCAAAAGGAAAAGAAGCTGAGAGATCAGTCAATGAAGGACCACACTGCTGAAAATGCTAGAACTTGAACTACACCCATTAGATGCTTTAGGCAAAGTAACGGGGAACTCCACATCAAACTAGTCTCAACAATGCTTAGAGGCAGAATGGGCCCTAGTGCCACATGATTAACAATGTCATCAAAGGCTCAGGCACTTTCTGATTCTGCGTCAACTCCATCTCAAGTTAACATCCTCCAATATGGCTTCCAATGGCAGTCAGGGCCCTCAACTTCCTTGTCCCCAACCAGCAACAGAGGGTGAGAAGCAGCTCCCTTTAGCAAGCACTATAAAGTCTTTTCTGCTGTCTGATTGGGCCAGCCAAGGTCATGTGCTCACCTGTGCACCAATAGCCATCAACGAGGAATACTACACACTGATTGGCTAGTGTGCATCTACTCCTGGAGAAAAGGATGGGGTCACCTTCCACATGGGACATGGTGAATGTTTGGATGAAACTGGGGTTCCCTTAGGAAAAAGTGGGAGATAGACTGAGTGGTCAACCAACACTGGAATCAGAATAAGATTTCATTATTAGAGAGGTAACATGGAGTTGGACAAGGTAGACAGGTGATTTCTGGTCAGAAGGTATAATTCCAGGGAATTCCCAGGTCATAACTGACCAAAATGTGGAAGCAAGTTCATGTATTCATTTCTTCACTTTGCATATCTTTATTGAGTGTTTACTAGGTACCAAGCCCTGTGCTGACTGTTGGCAGTAATTATATGAGATAAAGTTAACATTCACATGGACTTCTTGTGAAGGAGACAGACAGCAGACAAATTGGTTTAACATATAATATGTCAAGAAAGACAAAGTAGATAGGTAGGATAGAGAGAAATGGGAGGGAAGGAAGAGAGGTTGACATTGGAGCAGGGACCTGAAAGGCATGATGGAGTGAGCCAGCAGGATATCCAGGGGTAAGGGAGCTTTAAATGGAGGGGACTGCACATGCAAAGGCCCTGAGGCAGGCATCCATGGTTTGTGTGAGGGAAAAGGAGGAGGACAGAGAGACGCTGGCTATAGGTCAGAGCTGAAGCTGGGAACAGGTCACATGGGATGGTGCAGGTATTGCAAGGACTTCTCATTACTCTGAGTAAAATGTTGAATTTGTGTTGCTGGAGGACATTGTTGAAGCAGAAGGCAGCTGGTTCCTCACACCTTGGCTGTGTCCCACTTTAACTTTTAACTGATTCTTTCTCCTCTCTTCCAGGCCATGTATATGTTCTACGCATTGGCCATTGTGTGTGACGACTTCTTCGTCCCCTCCTTGGAGAAGATCTGTGAGGTACGTACCTTGTACTCTTGGTGTGCATGAGCCAGGCCCAGGACAGGACCCTTTACCATTCCAGCATCCTCACTGAGGCCCTGGGGAGGCCTCACAGCCTAGCAGAGAGGGAAGGCCAGCATCAGCACACTTGACATAGATGGCAGTCTTAGCAGCAAAGCCCCACCAGCCCACTTAGCACATCATAACACCAATGGATCAGTGGCGGGGCTTGAACTCACACACCAACTTTCCCTGCCCTATCTGGCCATAGCTAGCGCTATTATCTGTGTTCTGCCTCCTCATTTTCTTTTCCTGTCGTAGAGGGCCTGCCCTTCCTTTCTCCTTATCACAGCCTTCACCTCTCTCTCCTCTGCTTCCTTCTGCTCCTCTGACCCTCCTTTGGTGACCCCGGGATCCTCGTAGGAGGAGAACCCTCCAGTCACACACCTCCACCAGGCTTCCTCTGTCTGTGTACAGAGGGAGATGCTCTCGGCGGAGGGCCCACAAGACCCCAGGATGAAAGCCCTGGCCACAGAGCTGGGGAAAGTGTCCTCACTAGACACTATCACAGTGAACACCGGGCTGAACAGTGGGTCAAATCCCTTTCATCAGAAAATATTCAGCAGACCTCGAATTCTCTTATTCTCTTGCCTCTTTCATCTCTTTGTCTGTCTTAAAAAGGAGTTGTCTTTATCCAAAGGCTTTCCATTTTATATATGAATGTATTTATTTTTAAATTCAGAATCCCAGTTTTCAGAAGGCATCACTCCTGGACACAGCTCCCACCTGGCGCTCCAAATTCTTTATGCCAGGAGTTCTCCAACCTTGTTGCTTCTCCTCCTTTCTTTCTCCCCACTGCGCCCCCCCCCCACCAGTATCTGATTCGGGGCGGGGGGGGGGGGCAGAATTTGCATTCTAATAAGTTCCCCAGTGATGCTAAGACTGCTGCTTGGTCTGGAAACAACAAACTTTGAGAACCACGAACTTAAGTGGTTTCTTCTATGTCCAGGAAGTGTGTTAGTTCTTGGTACTTATAAATCAATAAATAAATATCATTGCATAATAACCCTGGAGAGGCTGCCAGAGTGGATACTTTGATGCACAGAATAAGGGATGAGAGGGGCCACCTGAGATGCATGTGGGCGGACACGCCCTCTGTCAAAGGGATTCAGCCTAGGAGCAGGTCACCTTAAGGGGAGGAGTGTTCTGCACCCATAATGGGGGTCCTTTGTGATCTCCGAAATGCCATCATTTGGTAGTTTAATTCTTTTATGCAAAGCAGAACAACTCTGTTTCCCACAAAACTTTTTTTGTTGTGAATCGCTAAGTGACTGGTCTTGAAATGCCAGTGCCATCATCAGCATGTGTTCTGCCCAACTGAGGAAAGTAGTTGAGCCCATGAGCACACAGGCCCTTGCAGGAAGAAGCAATCAAAGAGCCAGAACATGATAGAAAAAGGGAGCAGAGGTTAGGATTTTTTAACCAAAGAAGAAGAAAAAGAACAGAAACGTTCAATGGGGAGGGGTGTTACTTTTACTGGTCCCTGATGTGCCAGGACCTGCCTCAGTTGCTAAATGAGTGTGGTGTGAATATTTCCATTCCTCTCTTTCATCGTCTCAGGAACTCGACCACTATCCCTCTTTGCATACAGGGAAACCAAACCGGAGTTCAGAGAAGTTGAGCAGCTTGCTAAGCGCTTTAGGGGCAGAGTCATGATTTGAACTCAAGTCAGTCAGATCTCTGAGCCTTGTCACTGATTCACTGATCCAGCAGAGACAAGCTTGGACCAGGCCCTGGTTTTGTTAAACCTGGCTATGTCTCCAGGACCCATGGTCATTCAAGAGGGCTGGGCATGGAAGAGGGGGCCGCCTTCTCCCAAGCTCTGCCTACTCCCACTGGAGTGTCTTCTCATGATCAAGATCCATATACAAGGTAGAGCCCTGTGCCCATCTCCTGTCAAGATCCCGTGGGCTCCAAGGATGTAAATAACCCTGATTGTGAGGAAACATATATCTGAATGGTGGGTGGACTAAGGGCAGTGTTTCTATCTTCTGGGAGACACAGGTTCGACCTTCCCCGGCGTTGCACTCTCATGAAATTGGAGGCCTGGGGTGATGGCCTACAGTGGCCTGGAGGTCTCAGTTTACTCCCTGTGCTGTCCCTCATCACCTTCTAGTGATTTCAGACTGTATTTAACAGTTGCTCCTAGACTAAAGCTGAAGTGGAACAGAGGAATGAGAAAGATGCTGTCTTCAGCTTTTGTGAAAGATAAGCAGGGAGAGAAATCCACACTGCTCAGCGAATCATTTCTCGAGGTCTGGGCGGATTCCCACCTGGTCCCAGATACCTTAGAGTTGAAAGCACAAAACAGTGTGGGTGTTGGAATGGACAAAGAAAAGAAAGTGGGAGGGAGAAAAGAGGATTGGCAAGAGGATCCAGCAAGCCCGAGGTCGCAGTCAGGTACTGGTGTCTACTTTATGCCAGCCTCCTCACCTGCCTGGGCCTCAGTTTCCCTCACGTGGAACGACAGTCCCTAGATTGTGGACGGTCAGCAGATTTCACTACCAGGACATGGGAAGGTGTCTGGAGTTGTGAGAAACTCTCCACTGCACTGAGGCAAGGAAGGGAGAGAGCATTTGAAGAGCCATTGTCAGCCAAAGTTCAGCGAGGGGCAAGATCTGGTGTCCCCAAGGACCCCAAGGCAGCAGCCCTGGGCCTAGTAGAGACTTGTGTAGAGAAGACGGATCAGATGCGAAAGGCAGAGGTCTACAGGACAGCAGTGGGATGCCAGGGATTTGATGATGGAAGTGGAACACCGCCCACCCCATGGACTGTGACACCCACAGCAGGTCCTGCCCCTTTTGCTAGACCAAGCTCTGAGCTAGGAGTGGGAGTTAGATCAGACACAACGTGGTTCTTGCCAGCTGAGCTTCCTAGGCCATAGAGCAGCTTTGGGGCAACATACACAGGCCTGGAGGGATCTGGAGGAAGTGGCAGGGAACTGAAAAGTGAAGAGAGAGAATGGAGGAAGAAGAGGTGGATTCTGCAGGGGAGTAAGGGGAGCAGGGTGGGGCCTGTACAGGGTGCAGGATAGGGGCAACCCCTGCATGAAAGGCCTCAGTCACAAAGCATGTCAGGAAAGTATATTTGATCAGAGAAAGTCTGACGATAGAACCAACCTAGGGAAAATGGGCTTGCAACAGCACGTTGGGGGTCCCTGCACGTCAGACTGTGACATTAGGAATGATTCAGCATTCACAGGGGAGCGGGGAAGTAGAGGGAGGAGGTTGGTCGGAGTCTCACTCTGTAGCCCAGACTGGAGTGCAGTGGCCTGATCATGGCTACTGCAGCCTTGACTTGCTGGACTCAGGCAATCTTTCCACCTCAGACTTCCAAGTAGCTGGCACTACAGGTATGCACACCACACGCCCAACTATTTTTTTTTTATTTATTGTAGAGACAAGGTCTCACCAAATTGCCCAGGCTGGTCTTGAACCCCTGGGCTCAGGCAATCCTCTCGCCTCTGCCTCCCAAAGTGCTGGGATTATAGGTGTGAACCCACTGCGCCCAGTTGGGGGAGGGCCTTTGAGGGCCCTGTTGTGGTAAATGGGAGGAGAGCAGAGGCAGGAAGACTCTCCAGCAAGTGATTCTAAGAGGCCTGCAAGATGTTGAGTTGGAAGGAGATAGGAGGAGGAAACAAACTGAGGGGTTGACGGAGAGAGAGGACCCAGACATGAGCCCAAGGGTCTTCAGCTAATTCCCCATCAGGGATCCCTGCTGAAGGACCTCCCTCAGCCCAAGGCTCATGTCTCCCGGCAAGTCTTGGCAAACTGGAGCCATGAGCTCCATCCAGGTTAGGCTGCCTTCCTCACAGACTCCCTACCCCATGAGACCCGCTGCCCAGGCACCCCTCAGCCACATCTTTCAACCTTTCAACTTTGGGATGTCCGCACCTCCATCTTAGGGTCTCCTGGGCACCCTGTGTGAGGCTCAACTATCCAGTCAACACCCAGGGACTCATCGTCTCAGATCAAAGTCTTCAATGCAGCTGCCTATTCCTGGTCAACAGTCGGTGGCCTACACCAGAGCCACACTGCCCCTCGATGGCTCAGCGGGGAAGTGCAGCTTCTGGTGTCACTGGGAAGGGGCCGGTGTCACTGAAGCCTAACCTCCCTTGGCTGGAAGGCCAGGAGGGAACTGGTGATTCCCCGACAGTCAGCAGTATACTTCCTGGATCATGACTGAATGCAGAAAAGCTAGGACCGCTAGCCAGCCTCTAGTGTATGTCTGTCTTGCCATCTTACAAATCACCTGGTTTAGCAAATAAGGTAACCTGGAGAGCTTACTGTGTAGACCACCTTGGCAGGACTGAGACCTCATCACTTTCTACCAGTCTCAAGACCCCAGTCCCACTCTCCTACCCCGGGGTTTCCAGGCTGCATCAAGAATCGGGATTGGGTTTCAAGAGAGTGACCCACACATCTCAATTGCCCCCAACTCCTCCTAGAATGCAGGTTTACAAACTGGTTATCATGAACTTTATTTAGCCAGCATGTTTAATCCATGTTTATCTGGGCTATCAGCATCTCTTTTAAAAGAAGACTGTCAGCTGGGCTCGGTGGCTCAGCCTGTAATCCCGCGCCTTTGGGAGGCTGAGGTGAGTGCATTGCCTGAGTCCGCGGGTTTGAGACCCGCCTGGGCAGCGAGACCTCATCTCTACAATAAATCAAAAAATCAGCCGGGTGTGGTAGTGCATGCCTGTAATTCCAGCTACTCGGAAGGCTGAGGCGGAAGGATCGCCGGAGCCCAGCAGGTCGAGGCTGCGGTGGCCGGGAGCGGCCACTGCACTCTAGTCTGGGTGACCGAGTGAGACTCCAACTCAAAAAATAAATAAAAAATAAAAGAAGACTGTCTGGCAACACTGGGGGAGCTGAGCAGTGCTCCCCACAGAAAGGAGGTGAAGGCCCACTGTTGCCTTAGGACCACAACCTTTCATTGCCTGTCACAGGCCCACACCAGGTGCTGCCCCTCACTGAGATTTGGCTGACTTTGGCTCTTCGTCTTCAAACACTTCTCTCCCTTCCCTGCCTCAGTGCAGTGGAGGGTTTCTCACAACTCCAGACTCCTTCGTCCCATGTCCTGGTGGTGAAACCTCCTGGCTGTCCACAATCTAGGAACTGTTGTTCCATGTGAGGGAAACTGAGGCCCAGTGGATGGGGAGGCTGGCATGGAGCAGACACCTACTCCCCGTCATCTGCACAGTCTCTTGGGGCATTTGGGTTGGGGACTCCTAAACGTTCCCAACAGCCTTTAACTCATGAGGACATGCAGTCTCGTCTCTAATCCTGCCCCACAAAGAGGACCCTGAAAGGAGCTTTGGCCCAGCAGGTGTTCAGCTGGGGTGGCTGAGCTCTGGAAGGAGGAAAACAAGGAGGAAGGGGAGGGAGGAGGAAGAAGAGGAAGAGGAAGAGAAGGAGAGGAAGATGAGGAAGAGGAGGAGGAAGAAGAGGAGGATGACAAGGAGGAGGAGGAGGCAGCTACGAAGGACCAAGTCCCAGCCCCCGCCTTCATGGGTCTTCCTCTCACTGAAGCCCAGCCTTCACTCCTCAGGGCCCGGGACCTCAGGCATCACAGTCATCTCTGTTTCCAGCTGGAGTCCCAACTCACCTATGCTTTGTCTTTGCTCCTGTCTAGCGCCTGCACCTCAGTGAAGATGTGGCCGGGGCCACATTCATGGCAGCAGGCAGCTCGGCACCAGAGCTGTTCACATCAGTAATAGGTAGGTAATGGCCGGGGGTCATTGCTCAACCCTTCACTGCCTGAAGGAAAAGGGCCCTGGGGACGGACAGCCCCCAGACAGGGGTCATCTGCCCCTCACAGGATATGAGAATCTAGCAGCCCCAATGAGCAGAATGTCAACCTCCCATTCTGCTGTTGCTGTTGTTTAAGTGACGCTTCTACTGTGCATGAACATGTCCAAGACCCAGTGCCAATGCACGTGTGGGACAGTCTCCCCTCTGGGTGAGCCTACCCCATCCAACCCTAGGCTGTTTCCTGTAGATTCCGAGAACAGTCTCATGCTTATGAAAGGTCCCACACGGCCACCTTGGAATGCAGCAGGGCCACAACAACCAGGCTGACATGGGATTTGTGTTTCAGGGGTCTTCATCACCAAGGGCGATGTGGGAGTTGGCACCATCGTGGGCTCGGCCGTCTTCAACATTTTGTGCATCATTGGTGTCTGTGGGCTCTTTGCTGGGCAGGTAAGACTGGCGGCTCCTTTGTGATGATGGAACATGACATCTAGGGAAGGGAAGGTGTGGGGCTTAGGCAGAGGACGGTCTTGCTGGAACACAACCCCCATCAGGGCCCAGCGGTCTTGGGTGGCCGTGATTTGGGACCTCAAGTCCCAGGAGGCTGGCCAAGCTGGAACTGGAAACTGTCAAAACACCATTACTTGGTCCCTGTTGATGGCATATGGAATATCAGGCCCACAGAAATAATTAACTTGCCTGAAGGATGCATGTTAAATGTAAGCTGTCACACATTTCGATATGTTACTGATCTGAACTAGAATGGCCTCGAACAAGTTTTGGTACAGTTTTGCCTCCATGGAAATGAAATACATGAGAAAGAAGGAGAGACGGGAAAAGAGGGTGAAATTTTTTCTGCTAAAAACAATGTGCAGTCATCATGGTTTAGGACACAGCCTTTCTTTTTTGACAGTGGTAGGGCGTTTTATTTCCCTATTGCTGTAGCTGGCTCTGGGGGTCCTGTGGGCTTTGCCTGCCTGTGGTTGACCTATGGAAATATTCTGCTACTGGGTGATTGTCATGGGGCCATGTGTCCCTTAAGAATGTTGGTGTCTGTTTTGGAAAGTTCTGGAAGATGCTCAGAAGTCACCCGAGTGCGAGGCTGCGGTACGTTGCAGCGGCGCCAGGAGCTTGGCAGGGTTCGCAACTGCTTTGCCAGCTCTGATACTCTAGTTTCTACATAGGAACTTTATTCAGAAGCAACACGATCCTGAGCTCTGTGTCCCAACCCCACAACTCTGAGTATCTTCTAGAGAATGTGACTTCTGGAAGCCCAAACAGGCAACTGCACTTACTGCATTAGGAACCTGCTGATCCTGGTCACCCAGCCTCCATATGGATGGTGGGTTGTCCTGTTGGAAGCAGTGATTGGTTTGACGGGCTAGGAAAGCTCTGAATAGCCTTCTCCCATGCCCTTCTGCAGTTGGCTGAGACACCCGTGCCGCCCATTCCTATTGCAGACCTGAGGTCTCCATGCAGGATACACCCCAGTGTACCACCTCTGTTCTCCATGGCCCATTTTTGTTTTTACTTCCACCATCTTCTTGCCTTTTGATTTGCCTGGTGTGTTTGCTGCTTTTGGGTGACAGGAAGAGGAACACCCTGGTTCATCAGGAATTGGCTCCAGGGCCCACAGGTGGACAGGTTCCTCCTGAGAAGGGGCTCCCGAACTTTCTTATCTGGTGATTGAACTCTGAGCAACTCACTAGGCTGGACATTTTCTTTATTCTCATCCTGGTCAGAGATCTCTTGCCTTCCACTTTGTAGACTTGTAATATGGACCTTTAAAATATCCCATAAACGCCATTAGTACACACACACACACACACACACACACACACACACACACACACGCACATCTCCACCTTGGCCTCCAGGCATTTGCACATCCCTGGTCCTCCTCTGCCTTGGACGCCTGCTCAGGGCCTTCCAGGGATGAGTAGTCACACCTAGCAGAAGAGTCTGTCACTGTTAGCCCTCTCTTAATTAGCACTGTCACCATTAGCAGTATGATTATTAGCCTGGCCATGATTAGTGTTGTCATTTGTTCATGAGTCATTCCTACCTGGAGCTTAATTCAAAAGCAAGCCCAACAGAAGAGAGAGAATGCAGAGAAATGAAGCAAATGACTGGGGAGCATCTAGTCAGTGCCATGCAGGTAATGACGGGTGAGATGGCTTGAACATGTCTGGGGCCCATCACTCGTCAGCATCATCATTCTGCCCCTGCTTGGTAGGAATACTAGTGTCAGGGGCAAGGGGCTGCCTGAACTTCAGCTGGTGCTGGCATCTGTCCCTTGACTCTTTCCGAAAGGTCTCTGCTGGGTCACCTCACAGCCCCGCATGACCGTGGAGAGAAGTAACAATCACGACTGTGGGTAGAAGCAGTTCCCGCCATCATTTGGGGTGCCAGCTCTTCCTTTTGACTTTCCTGTCCTGTGCCCATCTGACAGTGTCCAAGGTCTTCCAGTTCTGTTTTCCAGGGCTTTATAGAATCCCTAAAGTCTTTGTAGAGGAAACAAAATGATGCTTTGGAAAGAATGTGGGCTGGAGAATCAGCCTGGCCTGGGCTTGAATCCTGACTGCTACTTGCTGGCTGTGGGACATTGGAGAGGTTACTTAAGCTCTCCAAGCCTCAGTGTTCTCATCTGTAGAATGGGGATAAGTGTGCCTGCTTCCCAACGCTGCCATAAGGATGAACCATAGCATGTTCGGTATTAATAGTCCCTGGTCCATACGGTAAGTCAACAAAAGTTAGACACACTTATCCACTCTCAGAATACTCGTCCCTGAAGTTCTCACCTCCAAATTCCACCCCAGGTCACTGTGATAATCTGACCATCTGGTTGGTGGAAATCATCTGACAGTCAAGGGTGTCCATAGCTTAATTAACAGTCACAGGATATTCAGTCAGAAGGGAAGGGACCATCAGGGAGAAGGTCTTCTAAATGAATACCAAAATGAGATGATGTTGATAAGGAGGGTGATCTCAGAGACTGGTACTTGTTTCCGTGCTGTCTGATCCATGGGAGGAAAAGAAAAATTAGTCAAAAATGAAAGCTGCCCAGCCTTCCCCACCAAGAAGCTCTCACGGGCGATGGAACCAACACGGTGGCTGGATATTGGGAATTGAGGTGATTAATAAATCCAATCATGGGTCTCACTTAACACTGTTATTTATGTTCATCTGCACTTTCGCTTGACTGGGAGAATTACCAGCCAGTGCCCGTGGGCCTCTCTCTACGAATTTCAGCACAGAGGGTTGCACATGACCAAGTCCGTTACCCATCTGAAATTAAAGTAATTAAGCTATAGGGTTTGAGTTCCTGTCTCAATTAGGGTTTTGATGAATTCAATGTAATTAAATGTCTGCTGTATTTGCAGTTTGCAAACATAGCCAGCGCCTCTGTTTCCCCCTAAGGTACTTTGGGGAGTTTTATGGGACAAGAAGGAAATTGCTTTTTAGAAAGTGGCTTATAGAGAAATTCTTGGCATCGCCGCAAGACGTTTACAGGCCTGTGGTCCTGCAAGTTTTATTTAAAAATGAAGAATAATAACAAAGAGAAAACACCAAGCTCTTGATGCAACATACTAACATATCTTGCATGTTATGCTATAAAGGACTTTATGCCAATTTTGTAAGACAATGTACTTAGGAATTTAAATCCGCTGGTTAGAGCGTGTGAAGCTTTAAACGCATAACCACAAACAGAAAGTAAACAATTTAACTGCAGCCCTGATCAGGACTTCCATATTCGGGTTATTACAGGCCGGCAGATGGCCCCAGCCTATAATGAAGAACTCCAACGTTAGCCCTTCTGGCATCCTCCAAATGTGCCTGATGTTCTTTGGCAAGACCCGTTTAGTCTTGGCTAGGCTTGCCTTTCTTCAAATAACACACTCTGTCCACGCTGGCTCATTTGCACAAACACTAGCAGCACCCAGAGGTTGCATATCTGAATCAAAACTCGCCCTCATGTGAGTTTCCCCAGAAGGAGACCATGAGCAAGTAGTTTATTTGAAAGGCGGTCTCAGGAAATGCTGGCAGGATGGTGGGGAAGGGGAGGCAGGGAAGGGAAGGCAGCCAAGAAATGTGTGTCAACAAGCACGTTATCATGGTGGGCAACTGGGGTTAAATTATTCTGTGGGAACTGAGAGACAGTGCAAACCCAGAGCCGCTAAGTTATCTCACAAAAGGGACAAGGGAGCCGGGGTATTAATCCATCAACCTCCATCATTCATTAGTTAAGAGCTGCTCTTGAGAGACATTCATTCTCCAGCATTCCAGCTTCCTGGGCCCAGGCAGGATGGATTTTGGGACACAGGGAAAACCCCCCAGGCAAAGAGGTACAGGGCAAGCAATTGGGATGGCCTGAAATGGTAAAGGTGGAGAGAGATGTCTAGGGCCATAAAGCATTGGCTACAAACTCAAGACAAGGGTCTTAAACTCAGCCACCTCTGGGTCTCATCTTCAACTCCCCTGGAGGACACATAAGCATCCGTACTAGGCAGACTGTTAAGAGTCTGGGGCCAGCCCATAATGCTTTAGGGAATCCCCCCCACTGTTAAAAATAACAGCTACTGTTTATTAAGTGTCTCCAACGTGCAGGCACCACAGTAATGCTATGTAAATATTTGTAGAAATATACCCACTGGGGTTTTGAGCTAATGTCATCTGATTTACAGGCAAGGAAATGGATAGGGGGGTTTCAGTAACCCCCAAATGGCAGGGGTTCTACTGTGAGGTGGTTAAGACTTAACTTGAGCCCACATGTCAGTTGACTGTAAAACCCATTTCCTTTCCACATGGGACATCTATGATCTAAAGATCTCCAGATCCTCACGTTGCAGTCCCTCGATGAGCCTTAGGTCTTGTGTGTTCTTTAGAAGTTTAGAGTGTGGAGTCTGGGGGCAGTGCCGAGAATGGACGTGTTAGCAGAGCAGCAATGACTCAAGATGGAGGATGGATGTGCTTAGCCCACCCTGTGTGCAGCTAGTCGCTTCTCCTATAACCAGATGACATCTCCCACAGCTGAGCTTTTGCTTCCACTACACAGGATTCTGGTCAGTCAACACAGCGGGAGACCCGCAGGCCACCCTGGTTTACCCTGCCTACCTTGATTCCTAGTTTATTGTTCCCCAGACAAAACTCAACACATCACCTACCCTGTTCCAATTCTGAGAAGCATTCAAGTTCCCCCAAGAAACTGGGAACTGAGGACTATGTACCACTGGTTTGATCAGACCTAAAATTAGGGGCCTGGGACCTCACATCCACATAGGGAGGGGATGAAAGTACAAGGTCAAGAATGAGCGAGCTGTCAAGAAACCCAGGGTGGTTTCAGGAGGAGGCCTCCTTGGGAGGTAGGATGATCCATACGGGGTCCTGGGAGTAGAGAGAGCAGGATTGCTGGTGCTGGAGTGAACAAGGTCTGGGACAGGTCCTGCTGG